AGTTTGGCAAAACATTTAATAAATCTGACTTTTACTTATCAAAATTGGATGAAAAGAAGCTAAAAATTTAATGAATATATCACAAATACTGTTATCAATCATGTTTAGTTGTATTTGAGGCTGTGTTAGCAATGTTGTCATTTATTTTTGAAGGTTATTTGTGTCTCAAAACTTGAATTTTTTGTGTGCATGTGTGTTGTGTGTCAATGCAAGTGTTCATGTGCCACTGCTCATATGTAGAGGTCAGAGAACAAGCTTGGGTGCTGGTCCTAGCTTTTTAACTTTAAACATGAAGAATTTGCAGTTAGCTGCTCATAGTTTTCATTTTCGTTTTTGTTTTTTTCTTAGTCTGGGTTGTTGTTTTAGGATTTGAAACCACTGATCCTGGAGGCTTAGCATAAGGGAATGTGTGAGATCCACGGAAAACATGTGCTGAGCCTTCTCACAGAGGCCATCAAAGTGGTTCAGAAAGCACTGAAGGAACTAGAAATCCTGCCGAACTGGTTAACATCCTTCCTCCCTTCTCCATGTCCTTGCTCTTCACTGTAAATGTCCCCTTTTCCATAGATTATAGTTTTTAAAAATGTTTTTATGTTTTGTCTGTGTGTATGTCTATGCTCGATATGTGTATTCTGCCCTTGGAGGTCAGAAAAGGGTGTCAGATCTCCTGGAACTGGAGTTATAGACTGTTATTAGTTGCCATGTGGGTGCTGGGATTCAAAGCCCTGGTCTTCTGGAAAAATGGTCAGTGATTAACCACTGAGCCATCTCTTCAGCCCTTGTTTATGTTTTTTTTTGACATTAGGGTACAATAGTTCGTCATCTTAAAACAATACCACCACATTCTTTTAATACAATGAATTTCTTTAAATGTATTATGGCAAAATGGAAATTTAAGTCATTCAGGCTATGAACTGATAATATGAGACACCCTGAGGCATTTCTTAGCTCTTTAAAAATAATCCCTTATACCTTTTATGCAAAATTTATATAAATATTTGTGCGTATCTTCTGTAGGAGGAAGATTGATAGGTTTTCACTGAGACTTCTCTGAGATCTAGGTAGCAGAAAACAGCTTAAGGGTTATATTTTCCTAGTCCCAGAAATCCAAGTTACGCCAAATCAACCATTCCTATAGGATAGTCACTATAAAATCGCAACGCCATCTTTTCTAAATAGCTCCTATGAAATACAACATTCCAGGTGTTTGTAGAAGACCTCATGCTAGGGTGATCAAAAGGATTAACGTATACTTTTTTTTCTTTTGAAATAATGATATAAATACCATGAAGAGACCACTTGAGACCACTTACTTTAATCTTTATAAATATGATGAGGGTTAAAATTGTTTAATGCCTATCTACTCATGGATGACTATGGATGTTAAAATGCTCTGGTAGTTATCTGGGATCCTAGGCCCATGAGATTAAAGTCACCAAGCAAGACAGTATAAACTCTTAAAAATGAAGGGCAAAATGAAGGAAAAGTGTAGGAAACATGTGTTAGGGCCTGGTGGGAGGAGGGATTTGATCTGGAAATGGGAAGAGTAGAGCATAGTAGGATATAAGCAAATTTTACAAGTGGCCCTTTTATTCACAGCTGACCAGTGGGGGGGCAGCACTATCTTTCTTCGTCCTGGAGCCCTGGCTTCTAGGACTGGCTATAGGTTCCTGAGCCACTCTGCTCCTTTCTTCTGTTTTTTCTTTATTAATGTAAAAAGCCGGAAGGAAAGCGGTAGTGAGAGAAAATACCTGTAGTCATGATGCTGAGAAACAGGGAGAGGTGAAGTGTGGCAGTCAGGTGACAGGAAGTGATGATGATGCATCCGAATTAGGAATTCTTTGTCAGGGGCTGCTAGTTCTTCATAGAAGGCAATCATGTGGGTTTGATATGTTGGGTGTGCGACTTGGAACATATGAAAGATTGTCAGAAATTGACCCTGACTCTGGGACAGGGCCTGCTTTCCAGGTGAGGGTAGACTCACTGCCCTACTTGTTCAGCCCCATTCCAGACTTCAGGAGAGGGAGATTCTTTCTCCCAAGTCAAGGCTTCATTCTTCTGGTGCCACTGCAGAAGACAGACGTAGGTGGCTTGATTGATGAAATACTGTGCATTTGCATCAGAAATTATTACTGGAAATGACTTGATCATGTGGGAGAACATAAGGCACAGTACCCAAATGGTCTCTTGAAGATGTAGTACACATTAGGGCTTCATGCAAAATTCAGATCTTTACATTTATCACATGAAACTGAGATCCCTTCTGGGTGCCTCTTCAGACATCCATATGGTGTCCACTGTCTGGACTATGCAAACCTGCTTCTAGTCATGTTTTACATACATTTTTCCTCATTATGTTATAATTATCTCAAGGTGGCCTTTGCTCCATTTCTTTGACGATATGATTTGTGATTTGTGTTCACGGAAAAGATTTTTTGGGGGGCATGGTCTGTTACATATCTCAAACTGTCCTCAAACTCATAGTGTTCTAGTCTCCTGAGTTATGGAATTATACCAGGCTTAAAATGAATTTTACAAATGGTTTTTCAGTGTAAACAAAACAGTAATTGTGGGGGAATGCTTGCCTCACAAAGTTGATTTAAGATGAAAACTGTCAGATCCCATGTAACCGTATGTTGCAATCATGAGATGATATTGTGTTAAGTCTCTACACTAATACTACATTATACAGCATTATGATTCCACACTGTCCAGCCCAGCCCTCTCTCTCCTATGCTTCAGTCCACCGCACTCTCCAATTGAGTGGAAAGACTATGTCGTAGGAAAAATGAAAGCTGTCCGTCATTAGTAAATTCAGATGTACCTGTAGACTTGCTAGACCAGACATCTGAGGAAGACTCTGATGGGAGAACCGGGAGAGAAAACAGGGTAACTGCAGATGAGCAGATGAGTTGTAGTATGTTGGCTACCAGAGTGCATAAAGTCAACTATAATAGGGACCCTACTGAATCGACCTAATGTTCTCTAAACTACATTTTCATCTGTCTTGTGGTTGTAGTTAGACTTGCCTCAGAAAAGATGTGTACCAAGAGAATTTAACAGAAGTACTGGTTAAAGTACTGGAATATAACCCAGACCTCAACCACTGAGCCTTTGGTTTTGAGTCAGTTAAGACTGTGTAAGTTGTATATATTAGAAAGTTGAAGTGAAATACTTGAGAGTTTATTCTCTATTACAAAAGATAATAAGGTTGCAAGATTCTTTACTGGGTATTTGATGGGCTCTATTTTTGCTTTCCTGGCTGGTGGGATACTCCCCATTCAGGGTGACTGCCTCATTTCTGACCCTGTCTTCTCTAGCCTGTGCTTAAGGAAAAAGGAGAGCAAAGAGGTCTATCTCTCTTTCCCTTTATAAGGAATCTTGGATGGCTGCTGCCAATTTCAGATTGCATCTCATTGGGAACTGGTGATTTGTGGATTGCTTAATATTTGGATGAGGCCAGCAAAGGTTGTCCTTTCTGCCTTTCTAGTCACCCCCCCCCCAAAACCCAAAATCCTAGCAGGATTTTTTAGAAATTGGAAAGGGAAGAACCGGGCAGTTTAGTTCAAATAGCTAGTTATGAGGTCACACCTTTACACTTAGTGCTCAGGAGACTGTGACAGGAAGACCAGGAATGTGGCCCTTCTGGGCTATGTAGTGAGACCCTCCCCCCCAACACAGGAAACAGAAGTTATTGGTAATAATAGTTAATAATAATTACTAATGAGCTTTTACTAGATAGAGTTGCTTATCTGAGTAGTTAATTTGTATGTGTACTCTATTTCATCCCTAGACTAACCCTATTTTTCCTACAGTTTTGAATGAAGAAGCTGAGGTCTAGAAAGGATAAATAACTTTCTTAAACTGACACAGTTGTAAAGTAATCAAGTCTAGATTACAAGTCTAGGCCATGTGCTTCTACCACAGTGTTATACAACTGTCAATAAACTGAGCATTCATAGCTTGGAGGTCAAGAAACTAAAGCTGGGAGCTCATAAGCCATTTTTCCAAGCTAAGATGAGGTGTCAGCCATGAGGCTGAATCTCCCGGCTTTATTTCTGGTACCTAGTCTGCTGTCCCTGGTACACCATCTAATCTTTGTCTCCTATTTATGAATTAGTCTTCTTGTGAGATGGGCCTATTTGGTTTGCTATAGTGTCAAACCCTGAAAATAATAGTTTTATTTTAGAATCCTTTCTTTGGCATGCAGGCTTCTAGGAAGGAGTGTAGCTTGGTGGTGCTTTGGAGGGTGAACTTCAGAGTCATAGTGTCTGTGTTTGAGTTCCAGTGGTGCCAGTTTTACTCCCTTGAGTGGAGATGACTCATGCCTCTGTTATATTTTAGTGGTCCCATCTATAAAATGGATTAATAATAGTAGCTTCTGGAAGGAATATGAAACTGCCTAATGTGGTATCTAGCACATTACTAAACAGCTTCTAATCTAATAGAATATTTATAATATTTATTAAAACGGACATTCTGAATTAAAGTGAACACATTTTCTGGCACCTGGTTGATTTGCTGCTCACTGAGTGTATAGAACAGAAAAAAGTAACCTTGAAGTGACTTTGCTTCTCATGCTGATTAGGATATTAATAATACTGAAGATGGGTTACTTTCTAATTGTTCAGTGCTGGGGATCAAACCCGGGAATCGGTAAGTGCTCTAGCATGGAGGAACACTCTCAGGCCAAGATGGGATTGGTTTTTTATTTACACGAATTCCAAGGGTCAGTATAATGTTATTCACCATGTGTTAGTTCATGTTATTACTTATAAAATGAGTGCTTTTACTGAGATTGCTTGAAAAGTATTGCACGCATCCAAAGTACTATTAGTGATGTAGAAGTTTATGCCACTGCTTTTAAAACTGGATCATCGTGTCTTTCAATCTTTTTACATCACATTTTCAAGTCCTATCAATTGCCAATTAAATATTAATTTATCCGAGGAACAGCAATGTAATCATTAGTGAAATGACTGGGTGACAGCAGCACTTACCAGTAAGATGAGGACTGTCAGCCCAGGATTGATGTCGTGGAAGCAGCTTCTGGGCAGTGTTTTTGCCTTTGCCCCTTCCGTTGGAACAACGTGAGAATGAAATGCTTTTAAAGGGAACCAGCCCGTCTTGGTTCATGTGTGTCATTCCAGCATCAGAGAAAGTGCTGCATAATACTAGGATGACAGCCCCACCTCTGATGTCACCCAGGATGGTACGATCCTCTCTGAGCCTCTCCTGGCTTCCTGCTGCTGCACTGGGGGAATGGTTACATTAAAGCTAACTCCCGGCATCTCAGTTCTCTCCTTGGAAGTAGTTTTCACAATTATAGAAAAGCCCTACAGTGGCTGTTTTCGGTAAGCTACCAAGGCAGAGAGGCCGGGCGGGCGTGAGGCTGAGCACAGCAGGAAAGCAGGCTGCCCTGCCTTTGTGAGGGGCTGAGGCTGCAGTTCTGGGCTCGGCTCAGCCCTGGTTCCAAGTGCTCAAAGTGCTTCTTCCATTTACATCACCGTGTGCAGTGCAGGGCAAGCGGGGCCTCCAGAAATCTGAAACTAATTTGCTTCCAGTTGACTAGAACAGCACATTTTGCATTAGCTTGCTTCTTTTCTCGATAACTTTTCTCAAGCGTTAAACTGATGAACTGGGCATTTTCTATGATCAATGGGTAACTGCTGGAGCTACAGTAATCTCTGTGAGTAACCTCTCTTTGTAGGTCTATGCAGGCAAATATATTTTATTTCTCTATCTCTTGTGAAATGCTGCTGTGACATTTTCCGTCTGTATGATTGACTGCTTTTGCTTACTGGTGTTGTCTTTTGGCCATCCCAGCCAGTAGGAGACTTCTGGGGGCGAACCCAAGTTCTGCTGAATCCTGCTAGCTACTGCATTCATTCTGGGGGATCCCTGCCAACCAGTCTTTAATCCCCCAGGAAACAGAGAGATGCCATGGGGGCCTCCAAATGCTTTTGCCCGGTACCTCACTTGGCTTTAGCTTGGGACATTTATTTTAGTATCTGACGTTGAGTTTTCCAAATTTCTTTTTTTAAGATGAGATTAGAACATCATGCTTATGTACAGTTTTCTTTCCTTTTATCCCTCTGTCCCCCAGCAGTTTTCCTAGGCACAGGGCATTCTATCACCCTGTAGAAATGAACCATCTTTCTGTGATGCATTATAGAAGCAGAAAGGGTGCAGGCTACTTCTTACTTTAGAGAGCTGTGGTGTTGGATGGGATAGGGGAGGAGTTTCTCTTAAAGAACCCTAGATTCTTTTCATCTGCATGTCGGGAGCACAGTGAGGAGTCTAAGCTGCCTAGAGAGGATGAGGGTGACTTCAGAAGTGGCCCCTAAATGTTCCCATTGGCTTGACATTGAGGTCCAGTCTCTCCTGGAAGAAGCAACTGTCCTGATGACTGCTCACTGTGTCAAAAGTGTTCTATAGTATTTTAGATTGATTTCTCTCTAGAAAAATTGGGTTTCAACTTTGTTGAACTTTCAGTGGTAGATTTACTTAGGATTGTTCATTTCAGTTTGTGGGGAAAATCCTAACTTTGAACCTAAGTTTTCTACTGAGCACGAAAGCCAATGTAGAGTAACTGAAGGTTGGTCTCAACCCGACCCAGTGAAGTTGCTTGTTTACTCTGACATTTGCATTGCGAGACACAGTTAAGCAGTTCACAGCTGTAGTCCATTATCACTGCTAATAACTCTGCTCGCTTGGCACTTATAATGATTTTTAAAACAACTATATAGTATTTTGAACATCAGTTTGAATCTCTTCACTGTTAAATTACTTCATAAAATGCATAAGAATAATTTATTCTAATATTACCACATCTGTCTTAGCTTTAGCGAAAGAAAGCCTGCTGCTCTAATGATATTATGGGGTTAGCAGCTCAAAGTGAACTCTTATTCTCTTTTTGAAAACATAATAAAAACTAAAGAGTCAGCGTCGAGAAACTTTAAAGCTAGATATTAGAAGCGTAGATATATAGATAGGAAGAAGTGTAGAAAATGGACAGAATGAGTAAAATAGAGAGAGCAGAGATAAGACTAAATGAAGGGATTTGGAGGATAGACCTAAAAAACAAAAATTATGAGAAGTAGTTGAGACACAGACAAACGTGGGGAATTGTTGGGCTGAATAAACGAGTCCACTTTTAAAAAGCGGTGATTACAGATGAGCTAGCCCCTGCCGGAAGATAAGTCTCCGTGCTGGTCACAGTGCTCTGGGCAGCGGCAGAGACAGTACTCTAATATTAATGGGTTGTTCTGCTCTCATCCTTCTGACCTTCTGCGTGCTGTCTGCTGCTCCCTAGATTACAAAAGACTGATTGGCATGGTAAGCTACTATCACTCCTGTAGGGATTAGGACTGAATGAGAAAAGTTAGCATGTGGGGTTTGGTTTGTGGTAAGCACGGCTGTACCTATTAATCACCAACAGGAAGAATGTCCAATTAATGGAACATTCTGTATTTGTATGCACATGCTAAAAGCTTGAATAATGCTTGCCAGGTCTTTCCTGTCCTTTGAAGCACATAAAAGCTTAAATATGCACACATTCAGAGAGCTATCAATGTAGTATCATCCACTGCATATGGTAAAATAGTATTATCCACTGTATATGGTATTCTTCGCCAAAATACGACTTTCATTAGGATGAAGAGTGTGTCCCCAAATATAATGCATTGGAGTACTCATTTGGCAGTTTTGCATCACTCACACCCATTTTCTGATATTTCTTATCATGCAAATCCATTTTCTACTGCTTGGTAAGGGGATTAGATTACCCCCTGTTTTGTTTTAGTGCTGCCCTTTCCATTGCATTGAGGGTGCACGCTGTGCATCTGTTTCTGGAGAGGTCATTGATCACCGTTTTTCATAGTTAAGAATTATAGGCAAAATGCATTGGAGGTCTTTTTCATTCTGTAAGGCTTGAGTTTTGTATTTGGTTTGTAAATAAGGCATTTGTCTCACAATCATTCATTAACAAAATTACAGACCGAACAGTCAGAAATGGCACTCTTTCCCATCATTGGGGATAAATTGCTTCTGAGTAAGTCAAAGGTTTTGCCTTTAGCTTGCTTCTGTAAAACTTCCACTATTAAAATGATTCAAGAATTTGTAGTTTTCTTATATGTTACTGCAGTTTGAAACAACACACATGAGAAGAAGGGGAGCAGGTGTTTGGTGGCTAGATGACCTGTGATGATATGTATTATTCTCAGGAAACAGATAATAGACTGTTAATGCAAGCTCACTAGTGCCTCACCAAACTGAGTTTGCTCATGGATATGTTTAACAAATAATGTAACCAAGAACATGAATAGGAAACTCTAAAAAACAAAACAAAACAAAATGTTTTTTATGTACCCCCAAACCTTACTTTCTTTCAACTTTTGTCTTTTAAACTCCCACATAATTTACTTAGGGACTACTAGATAGTAATGTTTACATTTTTGTGGTCAAGATCACTTTTGCAGTTTTTGTGTAAGTGTCATTGCTAGCTCTCTGAGAAACACTTACAATGAGCTCTAAACTCAAGAAGGGCCATGTTCCAGAAAAGGCCCTTCCTCTTTGCTCTTTGAAAGTAACCTGTATGACTTAGTATGAGGGCAAACCCATATCAGAATCATGAAGTTAGTTAGGAGTGGAGACTCTTTGACCTCTGGAAACTGTGGTTGGTTGGTGTGTATTCTATTGATTGAACTGTTGGAACTTTCAATTAAGAATACAGACTTGTAAATTTTTTTAAGAACAAAAATGTAGTCACTTGTTAAATATTGTCAGAGTTAACTTCTAGAGGATGGTCTAGTTTCTGGAGCAGTGCTCCTCATACTTCGCTGTGCGTGAGTCTCTAGCCTGTGTTTTTCGTGTGTGTGTGTGGTGATGCATGCACATGAGTTTGTTTGTATGTACCCATGACAGTTCATGCAGAAGCTTCAATAGCTGTCTGCCTTATTCTCCCTTGACATGGGGTCTCTGATCTGGAAGCTTGTCATTTTCAGGTAGCCTAGCTGAATGTTAAGTTCTCAGAACCTTCCTGCTGGGACAGTAAAGTGGCTCAGTGGATAAGGGCCTGTGCTGACTTTAGTTCCGTACTCAGAATCCAGCCACATGGTAGCAGGACAGACACACCTTATACAGGTTGTCCCATGACTTCTAAAAGCATGTCATGACATGTATTCTCCCAAACAAATAAATAAAGCAATTAAAAAATAATGCAAGTGTCCAGCCTGGTCTACAAGAGCTAGTTCCAAGGCAGCCTCCAAAGCCACAGAGAAACCCTGTCTTGAAAAACAAAAAACAAAAAAACCAAAAAATGCATGTCTTCTAGTTGTGGGGTTATAGGCATGTGTAGTCAAACCTGGATTTTTTAAAAGATGTTCATTTTTATGTTTGTGAATGTTTTGCCTACATGTATGTATGTGTGCCACATTCATGCAGCACCTGCAGAGGCCAGATGAGAATATTTGGGTTCCCTGGAATGAGAGTTTGAAATAGTTGTGCACTGTCATGTGGGTGCTGGGAACTGAACCCGGGTCCTCTGCAAGAGCAATGAATGCGCTTACCACTGAGCGACCTCTCTACCCCATGCCTGGCTTTTGCTGTGAGTGTCAGGGAACTCAGGTCCTTATGCCTGCACTGTAGGCAGTTTTGCCGCCTGGACCATCTCCACAATCCTTTAAGTTTCATGTTGAAAAATCTGAGCAGGGTTTTGTGACATCCTTCTGTGTGATGTGTGTGTTTCCATCTCCAGGTCACACTCAGCACAAAGATTCAGGACAACACTTTCAAATCAAACTTTCTGTGATAACTGAAATGATCTGTCTATGCAGAGTAGCTTGAGAGCTGCCTTGATATATATGAAACACTGAAGAATGAATACTTTTTAGATTTGCTTATTTTTATTTTAGGGTGTAGGTATTTTGCCTGCCTGTGTATCTGTGTACCGTGTGCACGCCTGGTGCCCATGCAGGTTCGAGGAGGGCTTTGAGTCATCTGAAACTGGAGTTACAGAAGGCTGAAGTCATCGTGGCGGTGCTAGGAATTGAAACCAGGTCCTCTAGAAAGAACAACAAGTGCTCTTACATGCTGAGCCACCTCTTCAACCCCTAAATTTGCAATTTTATGCAGTTACTTTACATGGTCAAATGCAGACATGGCTGTTACATTGAGCAACACAGGGTTTACTGAGTGGTGTGT